GAGGAAAACCGTGAAACCTCGTCTGCTCAGTTAGATTGAGCGAGTTAATAGTCTGTCATTCACTTCATTAGATTATGAGCCGAAATATGTTCATTGATGCTATCTGTAGATGTTTTGACACATGATGGACTGAGGACAGTGATGGACTCAACCTAAACATGTCTTACAATCAGCTTCATTTTAAAAATAAAAACCCAGAATAAAAAACAGCAAGAAAGAACAGATGACATGAAAACATACAAATGGCTCCTTGCTGCTGATCCTCCACAGCCGAAGTTTAGCTTTCAGTCTCTCCTGTCCAAACCTGCTTTAACTCCACAGCCGAAGTTTAGCTTTCAGTCTCTCCTGTCGAAAAATGCTTTAATTCCACAGCCGAAGTTTAGCTTTCAGTCTCTCCTGTCCAAAACTGCTTTAACTCCACAGCCGAAGTTTAGCTTTCAGTCTCTCCTGTCCAAAACTGCTTTAACTCCACAGCCGAAGTTTAGCTTTCAGTCTCTCCCATACAAAACTGCTTTAACTCCACAGGTGAAGTTCAGCTTTCAGTCTCTCCTGTCCAAACCTGCTTTAACTCCACAGCCGAAATTTAGCTTTCAGTCTCTCCTGTCCAAAACTGCTTTAACTCCACAGCCGAAGTTTAGCTTTCAGTCCCTCCCATACAAAACTGCTTTAACTCCACAGCCAAAGTTTAGCTTTCAGTCTCTCCTGTCCAAAACTGCTTTAACTCCACAGCCAAAGTTTAGCTTTCAGTCTCTCCCATACAAAACTGCTTTAACTCCACAGCCGAAGTTTAGCTTTCAGTTTCTCCTGTCCAAAACTGCTTTAACTCCACAGCCAAAGTTTAGCTTTCAGTCTCTCCTGTCCAAAACTGCTTTAACTCCACAGCCGAAGTTTAGCTTTCAGTCTCTCCCGTACAAAACTGCTTTAACTCCACAGCCGAAGTTTAGCTTTCAGTCTCTCCTGTCCAAAACTGCTTTAACTCAACAGCCAAAGTTTAGCTTTCAGTCTCCCCTGTCTAAATCTACTGACTCTCCACAGCCGAACTTTAGCTTTCAGTCTCTCCTGTCCATAACTGCTGATCCTCCGCAGCTGAAGTTTAGCTTTCAGTGTCTCCTGTTCAAAACTGCTGACTCTCCACAGC